AATTAAATCCAAAATATATCTAACAAATCCAAATGATGTCGTCTCTGATTTGAGTAAATCTTTCTTTTGTCGTGCAACAAAAAAACGTATCGATAGGTAAGATTAAAAAAAAAAGAAAATACATCAAAGAATATAAAGTTTATTTACATTTTTGCCGATAATTTTATTCGTAATATCGCATATGTTTTTACAGATATATATAGATATATTGCAGATATATGTAATATGTAGATACGAAATATTTAGCTACAAAGTATTCAAGTGTGAAACTTGGGACACCTACCCATAAAGTTCATATGAAATTGCCTAAGATAATATATGCAGATTATTTAATTATTTTATCATAATATGCGTAATGTCTTCCTAATTTTCCTTCCAAATAGTGTCATATAAGTCTGTACGGCGTTGATTGAACGTCGGGATTTGCGCTCTGACTTCATTTACAATTTTCAAATCTGTAATAACATAACATTTCGAAATGTTATTTAAATATTTTGAAATATGCTCTAATTCATAACTCCAAAACTATGTCGTTTAATTGTTACTTTAGCTTGGTAATGTACATTACCTATATCGGAGACCACCATATCCTCACCAGCATCTAGCTCGTCAAGTATTTCTCCCCAGGGATTGGTTAACTGAGTATGCCCCCAAGCAACATATCCAGGTGGCGAGCCACGTGCCGGTGATACGCAAGCTACATATAATTGATTGTCGTTTGCTCTGGCACGCTGCAGCAATGACCAATGCAACGGGCCAGTGGTCATGTTGAATGCCGCTGGATATATCAACATCTGACAGCCTGGCATCAGAATGAAATTTAGAGGCACAGTTTTAGCGATAGTGAAATAGATGCAATTACATTCAAGCAATTTTATATTTATAAAAATGCGTACGCGTATATCTGAATACACAGAGATGTAACATTTTTTAATCGAATTAATTTAAAAAAAGGAGCATGTGTGCATGTATGCGTGTGCTTGCGCGCGCGTTGTGTGTGTGTGTGTGTGTGTGTATGTGTGAATTTTTATACTAACTTTATTAATAATGAATAAAAATGAAATAAAAATAAACGAGGAAAAATATTAAATATATAATAATTATTTAACAATATTGATTGATTAACGATTGAGCCACCTTGGCAAATGTAATGATAAAGAAAGCATTACTGCATATCATTGAAATTTATTAAAATGCATTTATCTCCTTTTATTATTAGTAAATTATTAGATGATGCAATGTTGTGTGTAAACTTTAAAGTGTAACATCGTTAATGATAAAAACAATAAATTTCATTTTGTTATTTTCAACAAAAATTACGAATTAATGTTATAAAATTATATTGTGTATTATATGTTTACCTTTGTTTCTATACAATCGTGCCATTTCTTCAAACCTGATATCGTAACAAATACCAATGCCAATTTTCCAATCTTTTGCTTCGAAAGTAGTGAGGGAATTACCGGCGGATAAAGAATCACTTTCGCAAAAAGTGATTTTTCCTTTAATATTAATGTCGAACAAATGCATCTGAGAAAACAGAAGCTTAAAATGTACACAGTTTTATACCGTAGCATTCGTTTCATGTGAAAAGATCTTCACGTGCATGTTCTATCATATTCCATTTCTTTTATACTACATGCGCGCGCGATTGATAATTTTATGTATTTCTTACTTTAAAGTGATAGTTGAAATACATTTCAACATAAAAATGCTAAAATAGACGATAACATATTTTAATATGTTAAAATGAAAATAAAAATATGTATACTTTTACAGAAATATTGAAGGAATATTAAAGAAGAAATATTAAAAATATATTAAAGTATTATAAGAAATATTTCTACATACGCAAATACATTAAATCGTATTTGATAAAATATTTTTTGAAGCAATGTACAAATACAAATGTATATTAGCATCGATTTTAACCTTCCTGTGCTTGGCCACGAGGTTTCCATCCGGCCCCCATACCGTACAAGTGTTGTATAACTTCTCGTTGTCTCTCTCCGGTATTGTACCACCGATCACATAGACATTGTTCTTTCTTGCCACCTCGGATAATGCCGTACTCGTTTCGCCATTCGGAATGCTCTCGGCATATGTCGCAAAATGAGCTGTTTGTTTCACGAGAAATTATATAATACCACAATGATAATAAACAATCAAGTATATAATATTCGCATATACAATATATAAATAAAAAAAGAATCAAAAAAATTTTTTAAATAAAATAAAATATCGTTATTTATCGCATTTGTAATTTTCTCCACTCTTAAATTTGTGATGTAAAAAAACTTTTAAATCTTGTGAAATATATAGAATACAAAACCTATGTTTTACGTATAAAAATGTAGACAAGTTAAAGAGAGATTGATTTATTTGGCACAATATTATGAGGCAAAGTAAAACGTTTTCCGTAGATTAATTTATAGTGGTATAATCAATTAGAGATTCGTTTTAAATGTTAATATCAAAAAGTTTTTTTTTTACTTTTATTATTGAGAAAGTATCGATTATTTCGACCAAATCTCGACCTAACATCATCTCGATCTAGCATCATAAATTTTTAAAATATTTATATGAATAATTGACTAAAAAATATTAATGATTTTTTTCATTACATGTTCCATATGGCGAGTTGAAACACTCGGGCAGTATCACGATGTCAGCTCGCTTCTGTTTCGCGCGCTCGATGAAAGAAACGGCCCGCGAGATGTTTGTCGCCTTGTCATTACCGACAGACAACTGCACCAATGCTAAACGTAGGGCTGAAAGTTATAATTTGAACGTTACATCATTTTAATAAAATCACCATGAATATTATCGCCTGCATTACACATCAACTCTTGCTGAAGACCGAGTCTCAAGTAATTAACCATAATTTGTACTGTTTTTTCTCCATCTTTACGAATGAAATGATAATAGAAAAAGCCATAGGATATTATTGCAATTTAATCATCCGAACATTCTATTTGAGTCAAAATAATAGTCAATTGGAGCACAAGTTGTCGATTGATCATTTCAAGCTACATTGCTGATACAACAACGGAATGTTACGTTGTTTTTTTTTGTGTTAGCCATAAAAAGAGATATATTCAATCCCGAATTATTATCATAAAAAATACAAAATAATTGGACACGTACTAGTCATTGTTCTTATTCCATATTGCCCGACACTCGCCCACGACATTGCCAATCATGATAGGTTAGGTTTTCTTCTGGGGGTGCATTCGGGGAGTTTGCTATCACGTTGTTATCAACGTTAACGCTATCAACTCATTCAACGCATTCACGAAGTCAAAATAGCACTATCGCTTGCTATCGCTATTCATGGAGCATGCAAATGCGTTAACGCTACTGATACACTATTTATACGGAAGCAATAGCGTTGATAGTGCAAAATTATGATGCAAAAACGCTACCGACAGTGATATAATAATAGCGTTTGGTACTGCTATCAATTAGCTCTCCGAACGTATTAGCGTTAGATAATATCGAACAGTGAGCTCCCCGAACGCACCCCTGATCATTTTGTGATAACAAACAAAACCGTAAATATCGTCGTAATGGAAAAACAAAATTTTTCTTTGCATTATATTTGTACTTAATTTATAGTTATCTTTGTACACAACAGGAGGGAGAGAGGGAGAGAGAGAAAGAGAGAGAGAATTGTTTTTATTCACAAAATGTCTGAAAATTAATATTAATTCAGATTAATTTAAGTTTATTGTCAATATTAACCAAAGTATATAATCAAATAAGGTATGGATGGAAATTTACAGAGAACCTAAAAAATATAAGAAATAAGTTTTATTAAAAAAAGATATTTACACAAATAAAATTTATATAAATCAATATAGAACATAAAATATTCATGTTATATATTACAATGTAAACATGTTATTGTTTACTGGATGATCGAGATCTCCTATGCTTCTTCGATTTCTTTCTATCATAAGAATCAGAAAATCTTGATATTTTATCCTTTTTTCGTTCTCGTTCCTTATCTCTTCCTTTATGTTTTTTAGACTTTTTTGTCTTTTTAGCTCTATCACTACTACTACTATTGGAACGCCTTCGACTTCTATTTCTTTTTTATTGTCGCTATCATACTCATTCTCACTGTTAGATGAATTTCGTCGTTGAGTTTTTAATTTTTACTTGATTTTTTCGATTTGTGTCCATCCTCTCTGAGTCTTCTTTTCATACCAGATGTATTTGAACCATTGTCATCGTTGTTGCTACAATATTCCACTGATACAGATCTCTGTTTACTCATGTCTTTCTTCTTTCTATGTTCTTCGAATTTAGCAGCATCTGAAATCAATTTCATCAAATGCTAAAGACCAAAACTGCAATAATTTTTGCACAAATCAACAAATTAAACAGGGACTTTTAAAGAGTAGTGAATTATTTTAAATCTAGTTTATCAACCAATTTATGAATAGAAAATCGTGAAATTTTGTAATTATATACGTATGTACACACGCGTGCGCACGCCACTACACACACACACACACACACACACACACTCTCTCTCTCTCTCTCTCTCTCATTTAAAAGTCCCGCTAAGAGATAATTTGCTTCATTTACTAACTTAAAACTTTAGAATTTTTTGAATATTCCGCCTTCGTTACTGCTTGAATTATGGATTCATTTACAGAAATAGTATTTCCATTTAATGCCATTTTTACAATCAATCTTCCCGCGTCATCAAAACCTTCTATTTGACCGTATGCTTTGGATCGTTTGCCAGCAATAATTTTTATAAAACACCCTTTTTGTATTTGTAATTCTTCTTCTTCTTTTTGAGTTTTTCCATCCTGTTTTTGCAACGCTATCTTATCTGCGCCAAGTCCCATACCTATTGGCCGTAGTTCAGGTACAATGGGTGTTACAAGTCTATAAATACAATAAATAAGAATATGAAAAAAAAAAGAACTGAAATCTACATTTAAAAATATATGCTAAGGTAAACGTATATACAAAAAAAAATCTAAAACTCTTACTTTGGATTTTTACCAATACCTTCTCCAGGTTTCCATCCCATACCTCGTAACATAGCTGAACCAAAGATGCTTAGCGGTACTTTCTCATAATCTTCTAATGTACTCTATGTACAAAAGAAAGAAGTATTAAATATAACATATTGTGTGTACGTGCATTCGCGCACGCACACGCACGCGCGCGCGCGCACACAAACATACACACACACACACACACACACAAAGTTTATATGACAATATTAATAATACATTAATAATAATCATAGAGAAATACTTACTTCTTCTGCACCCTTTAAATTCTGTCCTTTAATTAAGGATAACGTTATATCACACAGTTCATTCTCATTTTTTTCAGTTGATTTGAGATCTTCTATAATCTCTTTAACTGCTTGCTCGTCCAATGTAAGACTCTTACCTTCATTAGGCAATTCTGTTTTTATTTGTACATTAGAGACAGCCTTATTAATCAATGTTAAATCACCATTAGAGACTTTCTTTGATTCTTCCTTAACACTGATATTTTGTGTATCCTTTTTACTTATATTTGATTTATAAATATCTGCATCTATTTTATTGACAATTCTATCGTGCCAAGTTTTAGAATCTAATAGTGGAATAATAAGAGGCTCTTCTTTCTTCTCTTCTTTCCTAAATAAAAACATATCCTAAATTAGAATTATTTATAAAAAATGTATCAAATTGTATTATCAGAAAGTGATAATGCATGAAATTAAATAACTGCTTATTATTAAATTAATTATTTAAGAAACACAGTCATGAGTCATACTATACCTATGTAAATTATTACATATAAATTATAATTGTTCGTTTATTGTTAATTAGAAACATTTTAAAGTGACATTCTATATATCATTAGACAAAATGATGAATTCCATATACGATTTGTAGTATGAAGTAATAATTATTACAATTACATAAGGTATTAATGTAATCATAAAGCTAAGTGCAACAAATTGGAATATATAAAAATGAATATTACTATGTTAATGTTTATAATATTATAAATTTACAGACTAGGTTAGATCGAGATTGAGGTTATGGACACTATTCAAAACTTAACCCTTTGCTATAATGAACCTTTTCGACATACCCGATCACTTTAATCGCCTTTTCGTCCAAACATTCGATATAATCTACTTTCTTCTCCTCGCGTGGCATTTGTTTGTCTAGAATTGGTCTTTTTATAGACTTTGCGAAACCAAAGAAATCTTTTATTTCTTCAGCCATTTTCTCAAATTATATATTTAGAGTTATTATATTTGTGCCTTCTATAAAAAAGAATATAATGTCTTATGTAGCTTCACAATGAGCTTTTTAATCTCACTTAATTGTTCCGTAGCGCACAATAGTTGGATATTCCCATTTGTATCGTAGGATGTATACACACTTAGACCGTGTTCCGATATATACTGCCCACTGAAAATTTATAGTATACGTAACGTGAACTATAGATTTTCATTATTAGTAGTGTGTATGGCCGACTGCAGGATAGGACGCGGCAAAGCGGCAACGCGTATATAATTTCGTTACATATTAGAAAACAAGACGGTGATTGGCTACCGTGTTGTCGCGTTGCCGCTTTGCCGCGTCCTGTGTGCAGCCGGCCTATATCGGAATACGGGATCTGTTCTTTTTAGCTGAACTGACTGCACTAGTTCAGAATTTATTTTTCTTCTTCCAGTGTAAGAAAGAAAGATAAACTGTGAACTAGTACAACTAGTTCACAGCCAAAAAGAACAGGCCCACAGTTATAGTTAATTATATTGACAAAAGTAGACGAACGTGATCACAGAAATAAACGAATGAAGCAAAGTAAGGATCACACAACAGATTTCGAACAGGCAATAGATTTCGACCAATCAGAAATATCTTCGATATTCGTCACAGCTTCTGATTAGTCGAAATCTGTTGCCTGTTGCTATTCCCTGTATCTTTTCATTGTTCATCTCAGGCTTAAAAGTAGATAGGCTGTGGATTCGTACAAATTTATAACCTTTCTTAAAGTTTTGACGTTATCGTATATTGTTTATATTGCAAATTTGAATGTTTCCTATATTCTTCATGATATTTCGTAATATTGAATAGTGCGCTTTATAATGTTTGCATTAACGGGAGAAGTAAACTTTTGGACCTTTGATGACAATGTAAACATACAAGTCACGGATTTCGGTGCATTTAAGTAAAAAACTCTACTATTATAGTAATTTTTAAATTTTGTATTACGCTCTTACACAATAATTTGAGATTGTTTCGGATTTTCAGATATCACGACAAACGTATCGATAGCATATATGAAGAGGGCAAAAGATCTTACTGTCAAGAACGTGGTATGGTTTATGTCCCGGAGAACAAAAAGGGAAACAAATTAAAACATTCCATTAAGTACTTGGAGGTATAATAGACAATTACATTGCTTTTTCTTGATCGAATTTTTTAAAGAGTATGTATTGTAAAATTTTTATTAGGATCAGCTGAGAGATAATTCTGTAATTTATTGTCAATGGCATGACGATTCTATTGTACAATTAATGCTCAGCAATGGCTTATTGGTACAAATACAAGTTTGTCTCGCCAGTGGTGACGTGCGAGAAATTAATTTTGATAAATATCTTGTTGGAAAGTTATCAGAACATGTATCCGATGGTAAGGGAGGTATTGTCTTATCTATCTAGAAATTATTTATTATATGTAAAAAAAAGTTTTACTTTTTTTTGTCTATAGTAATCATTACCAAAAACCATTTGGTTTGTACATATAATGATAATCTAGTGACACTGGTGCATTTTGCAAAATCTAAAACACATATCTTTGATAAGATGAATAAGTTAGAACCAAAGCTAATCACAACAGATTTATTTGTATCTAATGGACGCAGATTGGATAAAAAGGTTCAAGTGAACAAATCTGCTAATTTGGTAAAATACTTTTAAATAATGTTTTTTAGAATTATACATAGAAAATTTTATAATACTAATTTATAAGAAATTATATATTTTTCAGATATTAATTTGGCGAAAATCAACAATGAACGAAGTTTATCCTTGGAGTCCTGCCGTGAAACAATACAATCGTGCAAACATGCATCTCTTCCGACTTACAGGGTATGAAACAAATATAACTATATGAATGTTTTTTATTTTCTTTGTACACATACATAAAATTTCTTATCTGTCTTTTGTATGTGTATTTATCTCTTTTTGTTCCATTGTTCTAAAGTTCGACACAACTTCCTTTTTTCCATTTCTGTTTGCATACTTTATTTTTTTACATAAATTCTGATGTTTCTTCTTGTGCAGTTCCCATAAATCTTTCTTATACTGAGAAGTTGTTGACAGCTCTTTGGCAATGCTTCGAGTAATTTTCTTTGGTAAATCCCATGTGCCCTTTTTATATAATATTTTGTTATTATAATTTATATATATATATATATATATATATGTGTGTGTGTGTGTGTGTGTGTATGTATGTATGTAAATTTACAAAAATTTTACAATAATAATATTCATCTTAATAATTTGTATTAGTAAAATTTGAATATATGTAATACTAATGTATACAAACTTTAAATGTTCCCCATGATGAATATTCGACTTTTTTGACATTTTTTAACATACGTCCATTATTATCTGCGATAAACTTTGTAACAACGCAATGTCTGTCTGGCCAGTTAGGGTACCATTTAGGAATTTCCCAATTTCGCAATCTTTTCGGAACAAATGCATTCTCTGTCCAATGACCATGCCAATGTTGAGACATTATTTAGCTCTTGTTTTTCCTTTTATGATTTTGATGCATACATATTTTAATTACACTTGTGCTTGCTATTATAATATTGTTTGTCAAACCTAAACGTGGTTAGTTATATGTTGCTATGTTCGCGTTGCCATGTAAATCAATTGCATGTTTGTACATAAAACAAAAGTGGCTTTAATGATTTATACTTTCAGCACAAAGTTAGAATTATTATGTTACATACGTACTGAATTTGATCCCTTATGTATTATGTTTGATGCATGTGATGACGATATTATTCATTCTGTAGAACAAAAGGTTTCAAGAAAGGTAATTCTAGCTCATAATTCACAATTCATAATTTTTTATTTATGAAAAATTTAATAATATTAAATATACAATGTTAACAAAATATATGTATGTATATTAGTAAATTCGAATGTTATACATAGGGAGAAGTTACTGTAGAATGGCGTACATATGAAGTTTCTCGGCAAAATAAATTAAAAAGGATTGCTGTGATTTCTGTACCATTGCCAACCCATACGAGTTGCGTGAGATTTTCACCTAATCAGGAATTATTACTTCTATGCTGTATTGATGGCACTGTTATGATGTATGATCAGACTAAATCAACAACCACCAGTGTAAAAGCCGCTTTCGTAGGTTTTATATATTTATATATATA